CGGTTTTACATTTCAGCACCCGGATAGGAAACCTCACACCCATGACCACGGTCGGTTTTACATTTCAGCACCCGGATAGGAAACCTCACACCCATGACCACGGTCGGTTTTACATTTTCAGCACCCGGATAGGAAATCCCATACCCTGTAGCCGTCACTCCCTAGCCCCCACGTGCAGCTTCAGCCCCTGATGGCCACCAATCCTCTTTCTCTCTCTGTGGCTTTCCCTGTTTGTGGACATTTCATAGGCATGGACTCATATAACATGTGGTACAACTCGTGCATTTTTAAAACCCCCTGAGCCGAGCAGATAGAGCCCATCTGCAGACCCTGGGGCCACCTTCGGTGACACCTGACCCTGATCAATATCCAATTTACTAAATGGTTTAATTTTTAACTTGGGAGAATCTGTATAAAACACGCTTAGCTCATGGCCAGAAGGCAGCATTGTCAAAACGTAAAGTGAGCACAGAGGTTTCGGTTGTTGTATACATGCAGCGATGACGCGGGGTTCCGAATGACCCCACTTTTCCCCCTTGTATGGGCAACAAAACCATTATCTCCATTCTGCAGATGAGAAAACTGAGGCCCAAAGGGGCCCAGAAAATTAATGACACCTCCCAAGTTAGAATTCGGGTCTCTGGGTGCCCAGTTCTAGGGTATTTCTAAACTGGAGATTTTTCCAAAAAAAAAAAAAAAATCCTCACCCTCAATGTAGCGATACCAGCTCGATTCCCCGGCCAGTGCATCTCATGAGCAGCCCCACCCATCTGTCAGTGGACGCTTCTGTGTTGCTGTGATGCTGAACAGGTTTCAGTGGAGCATCCAGACTAAGAAGGAGTAGGAAGAAAGGCCTGGCAATCTATGTCCAAAAATCAGCCAATGAAAGCCCTGCGGATGACAATGGTCCTATCTGCCACCAATCATGGGGACCGACGTGTTTCCTTCTGTCGTACATGGGGTTGCCGTGAGTTGGGGGGTGCATCGATGGCCGCTAACGACAACAACGGGGAGAGATTACAGAAGCCGTCAGACAGTCCTTGTCCGGGAGGACCTGACTCTGCAGAAGCTGTGCTGTGTTAATCCAGGAATCCTGTGAAGCAGAGGTTATTGCCCCATTTCACAGAGAAGGAAACCGAGGTTCCCAAAGTCACACAGCGCAGAGAGGCGGTTGTTTTCGTTGTTGCTGTGTGCCGTTGAGTTGATTCCGACTCATAGCAGCCCCGTGTGACAGAGCAGAGCTGCCGTATAGGGTTTCCCAGGCTGTAATCTTTACAGGAGCAGATCACCGGGTCTTTCTCCTGCGGAGCTGCTGGTGGGTTTGAACCTCCAACATTTCAGTTAGCAGCCGAGGGCTTAGCACAAGGGTTCCAGGTCCTGCTCTTTCAGTGGCCCCACAGGGCCCCCACTCCAGGCTGAGGACCACCCCCCCACCCCGCCTCATTACGCCTGGTGGGGAAACCAGAGGGCTGACCCAGAGGCTCGACCTGACACTCCCGACAGGTGGGGTCTGTGGCAGCCCCCCAGCTGCCTTTCTGAGGGGCAGGAGCTCCTATGTCATCCAGCCCGACCCCTGGGGCCCAGGCACCCCGGGCTGCGGAGGGGAGCAGAGCATCAGAACTGCCCTCTGCAGCCGGGGCGGGCGGCCCCTGCTGACACTGACCACATGGTCAGCCCTGTCTCTGCACCCGGAGCACTGTGTGCAGGCGCAGGACCTCATCCTGGGGTACCGATGCCTTGGATGTGACAGAAGGGGGTGCAGCAAGATTGCAGCCTTGAGGGTGGGGGACTGGGGAGGCCATATCCACAGGACACATCCTCGCCCCCTTTGCCTCCCTGATACCCAGCGCCCCCAGGATGAGCTGGCACGGCTGCTGCTCTCCCAGCCGAGTGTGGGGTGCGGGCAGCAGGCAGGAGGCCAGGGGGGGAGTGCAGGAGACTGCCTCACCGCCCTTTAAAGGCATCTGTCCCAGGCTCAGCTTCCAGGGGGCCGCACAGGTGTGATCCACGGGCATCCCCGCAGGGAGGGGCATGCAGGTCAGAGCGCTGACTCCGGATCCAGGCCTTCTAGGGGCAGCCCCAGCCCCACCATGCCCCTTGGGCAGGTGCATAAGCTTCCTGTGCCTCAGTTTCCCCACCAGCACGCCAGGGAGTGGTGAGCCCAAGGCCTGGATGAGGTGTGTGTGGAGTGTGGAGCTGGTGCTACCCAGGCCGCCACTGATACCAGTGCCACTGAGAGGGCCTCTGGCCGTGTGACTGCCCCTCCGGCCAGGACCCCAGCTGCTGCGAGGTGCAGGCTGACACCCGCGATGACACGGGGCTTTAGCCCCCTGCCCTCCCCCTCTGCCTCTGAACAGGGGAGGGTCTGGGGGTGTCCCACTGCCAGCCTCGATGCCTGGGCTACTGGGGTCACATACGAGACCCCCCGTAAAGACCGAATGGACAGACTCCAGAGATGCGCGTCCTGGGGCTCAGGATGTGGGGCCCTGTGGGAGCCCACCCCCAGCACAGGATGTGGGGGCCCTGTGGGAGCCCACCGCCAGTACAGAATGTGGGGGCCCCATGGGAGCCCACCCCCAGCACAGGATGTGGGGTCCTGTGGGAACCCTCCCCCAACACAGGATGTGGGGCCCTGTGGGAACCCACCCCCAGCACAGGATGTGGGGCCCGTGGGAACCCACCCCCAGCACAGGATGTGGGGCCCGTGGGAACCCACCCCCAGTACAGGATGTGGGGACCTGTGGGAGCCCACCCCCAGCACAGGATGCGGGGTCCTGTGGGAACCCTCCCCCAGCACAGGATGTGGGGCCCTGTGGGAGCCCACCCCCAGTACAGGATGTGGGGACCTGTGGGAGCCTACCCGCAGAACCCACACTGGAAACCCCTCTCTTGGAGAAGCCCTCTGGCTTCATGTCAAGTAGAGACACCCACCTGGACACCATCTCTGTGGGAGCTGGGCAGAGAACTGACAGATTCTCCTGGCTGACCTGCCTCTGCCACCTACCACCTCCCTCCACCTCCCAGGTGGAGCCTCCTTCCCACCCCCATCCTTCCTCAAGGGTGCACCTGGCTCCCCTTCCCACCCCCCATCCCTCCCCAGGGGCACACCTGCCTCTCCTTCTCACCCAAAAAGGCCCAGCAATGGGTTAGGCCTCAGCGCTCGTCTTCTAAAGGACACCTTTCCACCCGAGCACTGACTGTCGCCTCCTTCTCTCTTCCTTGCAGCCGGACTGCCACCTCCACCTGCACCTGCGCTGGGCGGACAGCCCCTACGTGTCAGGCGCCGTGCACACCCAGGACACCGCCCCAGGCCTCATCATGGGTGCGGGTAGGTGGCTGCCATCACAGCGGGCTGGCAGGCACCATCACCACCTGAGGAAAGCTCCATTCTCAGGGGTGAAAATTGATGAACCTGGGTCTGGGCCATCGTGTGTCCATTAGGGGGCAGAGCTACAGCATCTCCAGGAAGCTCAGCCCTCATGGCAAAGCCAGAGTGGACACATAGCACATGATGACAGAATGGAAGGATGGGTGGATGCAAGACTGTAAGATTAATGGTTGGGTAAATGGATGGAAGGATGGATAGTTGGAGGGATGGACGGATGGATGGATGGACGGACGGACGGATGGATGGATGGATGGAGGAATGGGTGAATGGTGGAGGAATGGATGGATGGATGGATGGATGGATGGATGGATGGACGCATGGATGCATGGATGGATGCACAGATGGAGGAATGGGTAAATGGATGGATGGATGGATGGATGGATGGATGGATGGATGGATGGATGGATAAATGGATGGGAGGGTGGATAGATGGTGGTTGGATGGATGGATAGATGGATGGATGGGCGACGGTTGGATAGATGGATGGATGGATGATGGATGGATGGATGAATGGATAAATGGATGGGAGGATGGATGATGTTGGACAGATGGATGGATGATGGATGGGTGATGGTTGGATAGATGGATGGATGGATAAATGGATGGGAGGATGGATGGATGGATGATTTTTATCATGGTTGACATCTATTGGTCCTTGAAGAAAGTTCTTTCAGGGATCAGTAAGTGTGCTGTGATTGAATAGTGCCTTAAAATGAGGTTTATCTGAGTTAGAAGAATCGTTCAAAATAAGATGCATGTGTCCTCAAGGTGCATTGCTGGAAAGTGGCTGGTATCTAACCTTCATTTTATTCTTCGGCATTACTGAGCACCTTCCACGCACGGGGCTGGGACATCCTCTGCCAGCTCAGCCCAGGATAGGAGACAAAGGCACCGCTAGAGGAAATGCCAAGGAAAATGGCGGCAGTGGTATTGATTTTAGCAGCTGTTACCAATCGGCCTTTTCTACCTGGCAGGCACTGCACTCTTAATGACCACAATGACCCTGAGAGATTTATGGTCCCATTTTACAGATGAGGAGGCTGAAGCTCAGGGAGGGGGAGTAATTCACCCCAATTTGCCCCCATAGGGAGGGGCTTGGCCCTCCAGGCGCTTGGGCTTGGGTCAGGGAAGCTTTGGTGGAGCCATGCACAGGCCCAGCTCCTGGTCGGGCCTTGTCACCCATAGAGGAGTGTCTAGATGTGAGGGGCGGCATGGGGCAGAGAGCTGCCGAGTCTCAGGGACCCTCAAATGCTCACGCCACCCCTGGAGCTGGGATGGGGGTGGAATTGCAGGTGGCAACCGCAGGACCCTGGAGGACCCTGTTCCTGCTCTGTCGGGTTCTAGCTGTGTCTCAATAATCCCTGGGGCCCCAACTGCTGCACTTGGGGCCACCTGGCGTCCCCAGGTCATACTCCTCCTGGCGGAGTGGGGGGTGGGGCTGGAGTGTGTCTTCTGGTGTTGCTTTGTGCTTTCAGGAGAGCCATTTGCAATTGGCCCATCACGCCCCACCTGGCCCCGTGGTTCTACCCACGCTGGGACCTGGAGCCAGGGAGGAAGGAAAGAAAGTGCACATACAGTGAGTCCTTACTGTATACCATGCCAGTGGCCCAGTAGGAGGGGCAGACATGGAGTGGGCAGTGGCATGCTGGGTTGGTCAGTGCCAGACCTGCCAGGAGGGGGCACAGCTGAGGAAGTCCCTCCCATAGTCCCCTGCCCTGGGCCTCAGTTTCCCCATCTGTACAATCAAGGCGTTCGCCTCTGTGTTCTCTGCTGGCCTGAGGATGCCTCCCATGGTCCCCCAGTGTCTGTGCGGTGCCCGGCAGCCTGATGAAGCGCTGAAAGCTGGACATCCCTCTGCACAGTGAAATGCAAACTGCACATTTGCGGGGAAATGGTGCTGACGCAGCAGGCTCGGTCACAAGGCTCCTGCGTTTGATGGGTGCTTCCCGGAGAGGCTGTGGAGCCTGGGATGACGTGAAGACAGGGGTGCCTTCCTCCTCCACCAACCCCAACTCATCTCCATCATTCATTCACTTCACTCTGTGCGCCCACTTCATCCCTCCCGCGGCCGTTTCTCTGTTACTTTGATTTGCCAGGCGTGTGCTTTACAAAAAGGGTGGGCGTAGCAACACCCAGATTCAACGCCTGCCCCTGCATCTAAGGTGACTGCCCTGCCCTCCCCCGCAGATTGTCTCCTCTGTGCTTTAGCCAAGGATGTCCCTCTGCCTGGCGCAGGGGCGGTTTAACCAGTAAGCACTGTATGCATCGGCTTGCATTGAGCAAGGTACGCGTGGGCTTCATTGTGTTTACTTGCTAATCTGTGGTGAGCAACTTCACATGGGTCTCACCACGTCTCTGATGGGTGGGGGACAGGTGAAACTGCTCACTGTAGACAGGTGGGAAGGCACCATTGGGCCCGTGTGTGCCTTGCTTATTGGGTAACACGGCCCCTGCCCTGCCATGCCCTTCTCACCTGGAGAACTCACTTCCTGCAGGAATCATTTCTTGACTCCCTTCCCCCATGGACTCATTAGCTTTCCTTCTCCACTCTTGCAGTTCTATCTTAGCTCCGTGGGCAAATGCAAGGTCACCCTGTTTCTTCCCCTGGTATACTGAGAGCTTTCAGGGAGAGGGGACTGCGTTTGCTCAGCTCAGACTCCCCAGAGCTCCCCTGTAGGCACTCAGCAAATGTTGATGGGTGAATGTAGGAATGGGTGAGTGGGTGGAATTAATGAAGGATGGATGGATGGATAGGTGGATGAATGGATGGATAATAAACTAATGAAGGATGGATGGATAAATGGATGGATGAATGGATGGATGGGTAATAAACTAATGAAGGACAGATGGATAAATGGATGATGGATGGATGGATGGATAATAAACTAATGAAGGATGGATGGATAAATGGATGGATGGATAATAAACTAATGAAGGACGGATGGATAAATGGATGGATGGATGGGTAGGTGGATAATAAACAAATGACGGATGGATAAATGGATGGATGGATGGATGGATGGATAATAAACTAATGAAGGATGGATGGATGGATGGATGGATGGATGGATAATAAACTAATGAAGGATGGATGGATAAATGGATGGATGGATGGATGGACGGATGGACGGACAGATGGGTGGATGGATGGATAGATAATAAACTAATGAAGAAAAGATGGATAAATGAATGAATGGACAGATAGATAAATGAATGGACAGGTGGGTGGAGGATGGATGGACTTAAAAAAAAGCAGATAGGCACACAGACACTCTGCTTTAGAACCCCCATTAGCTCATCTAGTTGAGGGCAATCCATCTCCTTTGGAATTTCCCAACAACGTGTGACCATGACTGCATGAAATACCTCTGAGAGCGCCCATAAATCAGGCTTCATATGGCGTGTGACGTACAGGCCACATGAGGCAGGGACATTCAGGGTCCAGACGAGAGTCCAAATGGCATTAGTGTCATCATCACAGGCCATCCTGGGGACTCGGGCCGCTAGTCCTTGTAGATACCTGGGAGGGCAGGGGGGAGGCCACCAAGCCAGCTCATCAGAAGACCCTGTTGGTCACGATCATTCCCGGGATGTTGTTTGGGAAAGGCCACGCCCAGCCCCCTAGACAGCCATGCCCTCCTGGGAATTAAGCTCTTATTCCTGGCTATTGCTCTTTGTGTAGGAGCCCACTATGGGCTCAGTCTCCTTATCTGTAAAGTGGCCCCCTCTGGGCTCAGTCTCCTCATCTGTAAAGTGGCCCACTCTGGGCTCAGTCTCCTCATCTGTAAAGTGGCCCCCTCTGGGCTCAGTCTCATCTGTAAAGCAGCCCACTCTGGGATCAGTCTCCTCATCTGTAAAGCGGCCCACTCTGGGCTCAGCCTCCTCATCTGTAAAGCGGCCCACTCTGGGCTCAGTCACCTCATCTGTAAAGTGGCCCACTCTGGTCTCCGTCTCATCTGTAAAGCAGCCCCCTCTGGGCTCCGTCTCCTCATCTGTAAAGTGGCCCACTCTGGGCTCAGTCTCATCTGTAAAGCGGCCCCCTCTGGGCTCAGTCTCCTCATCTGTAAAGTGGCCCGCTCTGGTCTCCGTCTCATCTGTAAAGCGGCCCCCTCTGGGCTCAGTCTCCTCATCTGTAAAGTGGCCCACTCTGGTCTCCGTCTCATCTGTAAAGCGGCCCCCTCTGGGCTCAGTCTCCTCATCTGTAAAGTGGCCCGCTCTGGTCTCCGTCTCATCTGTAAAGTGGCCCCCTCTGGGCTCAGTCTCCTCATCTGTAAAGCAGCCCACTCTGGCTCAGTCTCCTCATCTGTAAAGCGGCCCCCTCTGGGCTCAGTCTCCTCATCTGTAAAGTAGCCCGCTCTGGGCTCAGTCTCCTCATCTGTAAAATGGGCCTGGATTAATGTGGGTGAGAGTCCTTCCCACTCTGACACCACCTCAGGTGTGGCCTCTGGGCCTTGTGGCCACCCCAGCCGGTGGATGGGGAGCTGCTCCGTGAACCAGAACTGAGGAAATGACTCCTGGCTGCCCAGGGGCTCTGTGCCCACTCACTGTCCTCCTGAACACCCACCCAGCAAACGTGTAATGCCTGAGGCCTCCTTTGTGCTGGCCGCCCTGCTGACTCGCGCGCCCCACAGCCACGTCTCAGTCCCCCCTGCGCCAGCCTTGGTGCTGTGTTTAGACACAGTCCCTGTTGCCCCCTGCTCCCATCTGAAGCCCGTCAGGGGCTACCCCTCACTCCACGCCGCCCTGACCCCCACTCCAAGCTTCTTATACTTAGACCGCACCTCACCTGCAGTGCCCAGGCTCTGCCTCACCTGGGCCTCAGGTGGGGTCCCTGTGGTCTGGTAACCCCTCCTCTCCCTGCCTCCTCTGCCGGGAGGACCGGGTCTCCCCCGTGCCCCCTGACCCAGCATGCGTCATTCTGTAACGTCAGCATCTCTGCACGACTATTGCCATCGACTCTGAGCTGCCGGGGCCCAGGGACGAAGGCTTTATCCAGGGGACTCTGATGGGGACACAGAGAGGGCAGGGAGACATGAGAAGACAGCTGTCACCAGCCAGGAAGGGGGACGGCCGCGCGGGCCTGGTGGGAGCAGTGGGGTGGCGAGCGGGCCTGGTGGAAGCAGGGGGGTGATGAGCGGTGGCGTCTGGGAGTCTGTGTGAAGGTGGAGCCCAGGTTTGGAGTGACCGCTGTGGGCGTGTGAAGAAGGGTGTGAGCAGACGCAGCTTCTGGCCCAAGCTGCTGGAGGACTGCGCTGCCGTCAGCCCAGTGGAGAAGGCGGGGTCGGAGGCAGGTCCAGAGACGGACCCCAAGTCCGGTGGGGACACGTTGCAGTCAGCAGCCAGCTGGGCAGCCCCACCCAGGGCTCTAGGCTGCAGAGAGAAGTCTGGGCATGGCCGACGCAGAGCCGGCGTTTAAAGCAAAGCAGCAGGGTGGGTGGGGTCCTCTGGCTGAATGGTGCTGGGGTGGGGAGGGCCAAGGACGGAGTCCTGGGCACGAGTACTTCCGGGGTCAGGGATGAGGAACCAGCAAGGGAGACAGAGCAGCAGCCAGTGCGAGGTGGCAGAGGACTCTGCTGCAGACAGGACAGGTGGGGAGGGGGCATGGTAACGTGTGGGGACCCCTGGAGTGATGTCCTGAGCACGTTAGAGTACTTGTGCCAAGTTCAGAGACCCCAAGACCACCCTCCCTTCTGACACCTGCGGCAGGTTCGCGGTGGGAGGGGCATCTCCAAGACCACCTTCAAGTTCAGTGATTGGCTAGACTGGGGGAAAGCTGGCCAATCCCAAGATGCCCCTGCCCCCTTTCCTCTGGGACAGGTAACCTGGGCTCCCAGCTGGTGGAGTATAAAGAAGAAATGTATATCACTTCCGACTGCGGGCGCACCTGGCGGCAGGTAAGTCTGCAGAGGGGGACCTGTCTCCCCACCCCCGCCCCAGGGGACTCCCAGAAGTGTCTGTTCTGTCATGCCCATCCCTGAGGTGTGGTCTGAGGAATTCTGAGCACGGACCTTCCACCCTCCGTGGGCAGAGAACGAGGGGAGAGCCAATAGCAACCCCCACAGCAGGCAGGTGTATGCCGGGACTGTGGGTGCCAGGGCCAGGTCAAGGTGGGCCCCTGGACGAGAAGCCACACTGGGGAGGAGGCTCCTGGGGCTGGGGCTGAACTCCTCGGGGAGGCCAGAAGTAAGGAAGAGGGGGCCCTGTGGCCGGGGCTGGGGCCCATGGACGATGCTGGGTTATCAGCGGCTGTTGAATGGACTGGGAGACATCATAAAGAGAGGATGGGGGAGAGGTTTGGGGAGCCATGGCGCATCTGGGTAAGGCTCCTGGGGGACCCGGGGGTGATGATTGGACACAGCAGTGCAGCCCAAGAGAAAGCGTTTTCGTAGGCCGCGGTCCCACCCCACCTCCACATCTGGCCCCACCAGAGCCCAGAGTCCCAGGACAGGGAGGTGGGCCTTGGCCAGGCGCGTGCCAACAGGGAGGCCCAGAGAGGGAGGGGCGGGGCCCCAGGCCCCCCGAGCAGCAGCGGCAGCCCTGGCCCAGGAGCCCACACGCTGGGACCCCAGGAGAGCGCCCCACCTCGCTCGACATTTGCTGTTTATTTTCAACCAAAAAACCCAAACTCGTTGCTGTGGAGTTGATTCCGACTCATAGCAACCCTGTAGGACAGAGTAAAACTCCCCTGTAGGGATTCCTAGGCTGGAATACCTGGTGGTGCAGTGGTTAAGAGCTTGGCTGCTAACCAAAAGGGCTGCAGTTTGCATCCACCAGGCGCTCCTTGGAAACCCTATGGGGCAGTTCTAGTCTGTCCTGTAGGGTCACTATGAGGCGGAACTGGCCTGACAGCAATGGGGTTTTAATCTTTACGGAAGCGGACTGCCTTGCCTTTCTCCCTCGGAGCTCCTGGTAGGTTCCAACCACCAACCTTTTGGTTAGCAGCCAAGTGCTTAACCACTGCGCCACCAGGACTCCTATTTATTTCCAGAACTAAAAATGGCCTCGTCTGGTCAGCCAGCTCCATGGAGTGGCAATTTCTGCTCTAAGCACTTAGGAAAATGAGCTAAACTTTTGTTCTGCTTCTCTCCTTCCAAGAAATACAAGTTCTGTTTTTAGGCCAGTTTTGTGTGCTCACACGTCACTGGGAGCCAATTACCCAGGAAGCAAGGTACGCACAGGCTTACTTGTGCTTGCTCGTCTGTTGTGCACAGTTGCACGTGGTTTCCTTCACGACATCCGTACTGTGGTGAAAAACAGGTGAAACTGTGCACGACAGATCAGTGAGTAAGCACAAGTAAGCCCATGCGTACCTTGCTTATGGGGTAATCTGTCCCTGCGTGTCCCCCAGCAACAGCCTCTCTCTGGGGTAACCCTCGGAGCGGTTCTGTTCATCCCCAAAGTGCGTAAGTTCACCTGCAGCCTTGGTGCCAGGCCTGGACATTTTTTAATAATATGCAAGAAACAAGGAATTTTGAAAAGGGTGAAAGAGATTTACTGTATTATAATATTTCTATTTCACCTAAACGAGTGAGGCTAGTCCGACTTTCTTAAAGGTCACCATCTGCCCACTTGTTAGCGCCCCCCTTATTAGAATATACTGATGGGGTGAAGTGAGGCCTTCTGATTTTATGGACACAGGTGGGGAGGTGTTTGTCTCAGCCACTCGGCCACTTTGCGTGGAGTTTGGACGGGAGTGCCAGGATTCGGGGAGAGTGGCTCTCACGGGCCAAGCGTGGCCCGGCCCCAGCTGTGCTCACTCCCTGGGTGGGGAAGGGGCAGGGAGAGGGGGGTCCCACGGAGGGCTGTGCATGGGAGGGAGGTGGAGGGAGGAGAGAGTTGACGGGCTGAGGACGGGGAGGTGTGCCAGGTGGGGGAGGGAGGCATGAAGGCGAGTGATGGGCTCCCTGGCCCTGGCGAGGGGCCGGAGTGGGTTCAACAGCCTTTTCCTTCTTCCCTGAGCTTTGTGTGCGGAATCCACGGGCCTGGGAGGCTGATCGGCCGTGGGTGGGATGGGCAGGGGTCCTGGCTGGGGCAGTCCGTGATGGGTGTTTCCTGGGTGGAGGTGCAGGCACAGGTGTCGTGGGCGAGGGGGGAATCAGCTCCCCATCTGGGCAGCATCCAGGGACGCATCTGTGCCATCCAGGTATCCATGTCCATGGAGGGTCTGCATGGGGACCCCTGGTGTCTTGGCAGGAGCCCAGACTTAGGAGCCACACCTCTCTGCCACTTGCCGGCTGGGAGGCCTCTCCGAGCCTCAGTTTCGCCCTCTGTATAACGGTACCCACCTAGAGTTGTTTGCAGAAAAGCAAGGCAGACACCTGATCTTGGGGCCCCTGAAGAGCTGGTGGTCATTCATTCATTCATTCATTCCTCCCACACACTCTCCCTGGACCCCCACCGGCACCACGCCCCAAGCTGAGCCATTTGGGGCCCTGCTGTGAGGACCGCCGGCTGGGTGGAGACCATGACAGACTAGTGTAGAAAGTATAGAGCAGGGACTGTGGGCCCAGCCTGGCTGTCAAGGAGGGCTTCTTGGAGGAGGTGGTCCACATGTCAAACGGGTTTTTGGTCTTTCCAGTAAATGCTTCTCTAAACCCCCTGGCTTTAGTTCATCTTTGCTGGGGGCATCTTCCGTGGGCAGGTTTTGACCTCGCTTTGCAGTTCTCTGTCTCCAGTCAGTGGCTTAGAAACTGCCCCATCGTCCACTCACTCACATGGGGTTGTTTCCGGGTGGGGTGGGAGGGTGCGGGGACTCTCAGCCAGGCCCTGCCCTGTCACACTCCTCCCTCTGCGCCCCAACAATTCCACTCCTAGAATGTCCAGCCCGGAGCCGCTCCAAGCCCCTGGCCCTGCCTTAGAGCACATCTGTCCATCTGTCTGTCCGTCCGTCTGCAGGTGTTTGAGGAGGAGCACCACATCTTGTACCTGGACCATGGCAGCGTCATTGTGGCCATCAAGGACACCTCCATCCCCCTGAAGGTCCTCAAGTAAGTGTGCAGGGGCGCCCTCACACACGGTGGGCAGCCAGCTCTCTCCACCCAGGTACCTCCCAGGGCCTTCCCTGTGGCGGCCTCCACAAGGCAGGAGCGCTAGACACAGCAGAGGGGAGGCAGGGTGGGGGGCGGGGAGGCGGGGACCTGGACGCAGACCTGCCCTGCCTCGGGAGACAGGTAGACAGGCAGACACACAGCAGGATGGAGGGCGACAGGAGGAGGCCCCTAGCCTGGGGTGGTCATCGAGGTCTTCCCGGAGGAGGTGGCTTTTAGACATCAACAGGAATGAGTAACATGGAGGAGGTGTGGCCAGGGTGGTCCAGCCCAGGGAGTGAGGAGCAGGGGCCTGGGCAGCTAGTGGTAGCTGCTTCTCCAGCCTGTTCTCACAGCTGCTGCAGCAGCCGGCACTGTGCTCTGGCTTGGGGGGGCTGCCTGGAGGCCGAGTGTCTCCTGCCCGCCTGCTGTCTGATGCCATCTCTCACAGGTTCAGTGTGGACGAGGGCCTCACATGGAGCACGCACAACTTCACCAGCACCTCAGTGTTCGTGGACGGGCTGCTGAGCGAGCCGGGGGATGAGACACTGGTTATGACGTGAGTGGGGGCTTGGGAGGGCCCTGGGCGGGGGGGCCGTGGCAGACAGCTACCCTGGGCCCTCACTGCTCAGAGGCAAGGCTCAATCCTGGCTGTCCAGCCGTCCTCGACGCCCTTCTTAACCTCACCTTCATACCAGCTCCGCCACCCAGGCCAGGCGAGGCTCCTGATGTCCACTGTTCCCCACCCTGGCCACCAGGAGGCAGCCACTCAAGACCTTGCCAGAAACGTTGTCACCAGCCAGGGTCACCTGGCTGTGAGGGTGGAACCAAGATGCACCACCAGTCTGAGAGAGCAGGCTGGCTTTGGGTGCCTCCCCACAGCCCTCTCTAGTGGATAATGATAACGATGATGACAATGATGATGACGATGGTGATGATGGTGGTGGTGGTGATGATGATGGGATGATTATATTGATGATGATGATGGTGATGCTGATGGTGATGATGATGATGGTGAAGGTGATGATGGTGGTGATGATGATGGTGATGATGGTGGTGATGGTGGTGGTGATGGTGGTGATGATGGTGGTGATGGTGGTGGTGATGGTGGTGGTGATGATGATGGTGATGGTGGTGGTGATGATGGTGGTGATGGTGGTGGTGATGGTGGTGATGGTGGTGGTGATGGTGGTGGTGATGGTGGTGGTGATGGTGGTGGTGATGGTGGTGGTGATGATGGTGGTGATGGTGGTGGTGATGATGATGGTGATGATGGTGGTGATGGTGGTGGTGATGTGTTGCAGCGAGCAGCAGAGACAGTAACCATGCCACAACTCTTACAGAGAAGTGGGGCCAGGAGGGTCGCTCTGAGGAGTCGACCCCAGCTTCAGTCCCAGGAGTTTATTTTATAGTCAATACAGCAAGCAGTAAAGCAATTAACAGAACAATGGGTTTAGGGTGAATAACAATAAGTTTCGGGCAAGGGAGAAGGAATTCAGGTAAACAAGCCAATCAGAAACAGGGCAATAGCTTTGGGAAAACAAGTCGTGCCTAATCTCATTCTTATCGCTGACAAGTCTCCAACATGTCATATACAGCATGGAGGCCTGTGGGGGCTGCAGTTGTCAATAGTGCAGCCATGTTTAAATGGCATATATCCCACAGTGATGATGATGGTGGTGATGATGGTGATAGTGGTGATGATGAGGATGATAGTGGTGAGCATGATGGCGATGATGATGATGGTGATGGTGGTGAAGATGGTGACAGTGATGATGGTGATGATGATGGTGATGGTGGTAATGATGGTGGTGATGCTGATGATGGTGATGATGGTGATGATGGTGGTGATGGTGATGATGGTGATGATGGTGGTGATGATGGTGATGATGATGGTGATGGTGATGATGGTGATGATGGTGGTGATGATGGTGTTGATGGTGATGGTGGTGATGATGGTGATGATGATGGTGATGATGGTGGTGATGCTGATGATGGTGATGATGATGGTGATGATGGTGGTGATGGTGATGATGGTGATGATGATGGTGATGGTAGTGATGATGGTGATGGTGGTGATGATGGTGATGATGATGGTGGTGACGGTGATGATGATGGTGATGGTGGTGATAGTGATGATGATGGTGATGATGGTGATGGTGATGGTGGTGATGGTGATGATGGTGATGATGATGGTGATGATGGTGATGATGATGATGATGGTGACAGTGATGATGATGATGATGGTGACAGTGATGATGGTGATGAAGATGGTGACAGTGATGGTGATGATGATGGTGATGGTGGTGATCATGATGATGATGGTGGTGACGGTGACGATGAACCACTGGTGCTGGTACACGGGCTCTTGGCTTTCACTGACGAGGACTGTGGATGCAGGCAGTGCAGTGTGGGGAGTGTCAGCCCTGCTCACTTTGCTTTCCCTCTTTGGACCCCGTAGTGTGCCAAGGCCCCCTCGGGACACATGCTGCGTTTTGCACAGTGGGGGTGAGGGAGCATTGGCACCCCTGGTCTGAGCCCCTCACTGAGGGGACAGGAAGTCTTCCTGCCCAAGGTGCCCTGTCCCTCCGGGCTGGACAGCCTGCCTTCCTCTGGCTCTGCTCACGCTAGAGGTGTGGCTGGACAGTGCAAGCCCCCACCCCAGCCCACGGGAACCTGCGTCAACATGACTTATTGCTACGAGTAATCGCTGCCTGGCTTCTGTAGCACGTGCCCATGTAGTGAATGCACGAATCCACTGATTCGCTCATGGCCACCCTTCATACCCTCAGCGGCCTTCATGCGGGACCTCACCGGCTCTCCATCCAATGGCCCAAGAAGGGCCAGGCTGTCCCAGTCCAAGGTCCACCTGGACAAGCCCCTGAGGCCTGAGCCCAGCCGGGATCTCCCTCCAGGTGCCCATGTCCCTTGGGGCACAGCTGGCAGACAAGTGGTTCTGTTCTACCCTGTCCATACAAGCCTCCCCCAACCCCCAGCAAGGCCCAGGACTGGGCCCAGGATGTGGAAGGAAACTGCCCAGCACCCCAGCCCCTCTGCCCTGGGCAGGAGTTGGGCCCTGCTTCTCCTTCCCCCAATTCTCCCTTCTTCCATCTTTCTCTCTCTCTCTGTCTCTCTGTCTCAGTTTCTCATTCTGTCTCTTGGTATCTCTCTCTGTCTCTGTGTCTCTGGCTTACTCTAGCCTCTGTCTCTCTGTCTCTCTCAGTCTCTCTGTCTCTCACTCTGTGTCTCTGTGTCTCAGTTTCTCATTCTCTCTTGGTATCTCTATCTCTCTGTGTCTCTGTCTCTCACCTGTCTCTGTCTCTGCCTTACTCTCAGTCTCTGTCTCTGTCTGTCACTATCTCTCACTCTGTCTTTCTGTCTCTCTGTCTCTCTGTGTCTCTGTGTCTCACCTTCTCATTCTCTCTTAGTATCTCTCTCTGTCTCTGTATCTCTGTGTTTCTCTCACTCTGTCTCTCTGTCTCTCACTCTGTGTCTCTGTGTCTCAGTTTCTCATTCTTTCTTAGTATCTCTCTCCGTCTCTGTCGCTCACCTGTCACTCTCTCAGTCTCTCTCTGTCTCACCCTGTCTCTGTCTCTGTCTCACTCTCAGTCTCTCTCTGTCTCTGTATCTCTGTGTTTCTCTCACTCTGTCTCTCTGTGTCTTGCTCTGTCTCTCTCTCTCCTGCCCTCCTGTTCCCCACAGACTCCGGAGCCCTTGCCCAGATGGTCCTTGGTCCAAATCCATCCGCAGCTGGCTCTAAGCTGACCATAGTTACTTGGTTCATCTTTGCCACCTCTCTTCCCACCGCCACAGCCCCACAGCTGGGAGATGGACTCCGAGACCCTGGTGCCGGGGTTCCTGGAGCTGGCCAGGCTGCAGGCCACACACAGGGCAGGCGGGAGCTGCTTAAAGGGCAGGGATTCATCTCCCCAGCCCACCCATTTCCTTGATTCACGGGAAGCAGTAAGTAGGCTTCCCTTGGCAACGGCTTCTAAAACTCAGAACTCCCTGGATGACACGTATTTCTTGCAGGGTCAGCTGAGGTTTTAGGTTTCATGAAGGCAGGACTTCAGAGATGTTGAGGGCACTAATTAGATCAATCAAATAGCCTCTCTTGTGCTTAAGCTGGAGATGTGGGGGAGACACAACATCCCCAGCGCGGGCTCCCATGTCGTCTTGCTTGGACAACACGGGCCACATTTCGCGTGCAAAGCATCAGCCTTAGAGACGCCAGCCCTGGGTTCGAGTCCTGGCTCTACCAGCTAGTGAGCAGTGGCTGGGCGATCCTGGGAGGTCCCTTGCCTCAGTCTCAGCCTCAGTTTCCCCATCTGTCAAACGGGTAATAGTACATTCTTTCCACCACCCCCCGTCAGTCTGTCATACTGTGGTGGCTTGCGTGTTGCTGTGATGCTGGAAGCTCTGCCACCAGTATTTCACACACCAGCAGAGTCACCCATAATGGACAGGTTTCCGCAGAGCTTCCAGATTAAGACAGACTAGGAAGAAGGGTCTGGCAACCTACTTCTAAGAATCAGCCAGTGGATAGAGTGTCTGATGGAGTGCTGGAAGGTGACCCCCCCCCCCGGGGGTGGAAGGCACTGGGCACACACAGTGACCGCAACAATGGACTCGCGCAGACCACCGAGGGTGAACATGGGGCAGGAACAGGCTGCGTTTTGTTCTGTTGCGCATGGGATCACCATGGGTCAGAGCTGACTCCATGGCAACAACAAGAACAAGCTCCGTGCATCGGAGTGTGACACTCCTTCCCTATGCCAGGCCCTGCACAAACCATTGCTAATCCACCGTCCTTCTGGAAAGACCAGTCTTATTGCCCCATCTGAAAGCCAAAGACACTGGGGCACTTCAAGGGAATGGACTTGCCAGAGGTTCCAGGCACAGCACGCTGGCTATCAGCCCAGGCCTGCTTGCTCAGAGCCGCCCTCTGAAACCAAATATCTACTTTGAATCTCAGCATTGGATATCAGAGCCAGCCACTGTGGCCCCAAGTCACCGGAGGTCACTCCAAGAGCTGCCTCAACTGCCCTTCTAGTACAGGGTTTCAGTCCTTCAGATCATAACCAGCCTCCCCCGAGGACCCAGCCCCTGTCAGAGTGCTCGGGGGGACCAGAGCAGGGCGTGTCACCTCCCCCATCCAGACGCTTAACCTCTAGTGATGTGGCCAAGTGCTGCAGGCTGGACAGAAGGACCAGGGAGGAAGAGGAGGCCGGCAGGCCCCTGTCTGGAGGGTCTGTGGAGCCCCAGTGGGAGATATTGGGGAACTGAGTGGGAGCTGCCAAGGCAGCAGCCCTCCCAGCTCGGGAGGACCCACAGGGAGAGGCCTTGACTGGGGAGCCACCTTCAGGGACTGTGGGCATGGCAAAGGGAGGGGTCTCCCCCAGGGAGTGGTGAGCGCCTTCCAAAGGGGCCTGGGTCTTGCTGGGCTCGGAGAAGGCGCCAGGAGTGCTCGCTGGTCGACTCAGGGACGTGGAAGGACTGGACAAGCCCCCTTTGAGGGGCAAACCTGCTCCACTGTGTGTGCCAAAGCACTGTGGCGGGCGGCTGGGGCCAGGTGCCAAGACGCTGGCCTGCACCGTCCCTCCCAGAGCCAGCAGTGCTCTCTCGCCCTCTGCTGCAGAAGCGACCAGCGAGGCGTGGCAATGCTCAGTGCAGCCCAGCTCCCTCCCACAGTTGGTGCTGTATTCGTGCCTTAGGGTCATGGGGCGGGGGGGCCTCCGGTGGGGTTCATCCCCTTGCTCGGCTTCAGCATCTGTCACTCACCCCATGAAGCACTCTGGACAGGGACACTTGGTGGTCAGAACTGCCCTGTTCTCATGCCAGGACTGTCCATCCCCCTCCTCAGCATCCTTGCCCCCTGCCCCCTGCTCACCTCCAAGCTCAGCACCCGAAGGAGGGGCCTGTGGGAGACCCCTCCCCACACCCCGTCCAGGCTCCCAGGCCACCCCCAGCAGGGACCCGTGTGCTGCTCTGAGCTGGGCCTGGGAAGCAGCATCTGAACGCTTCCTGGCAGACAGGATGCTGAGGCAGAGGGGGAAGTGGGTGCTACCCTGGGAGCAGGTGGTGCCCCTGCCCACCTCCCTGTCCGTGCCCAGTGACTGCTGACTGCCCAGGAGAGGGGGCAGGAACAGCAAATGGAGCTGTGTGACCTTGGGGGGCTGCCTGACCTCTCTGTGCCTCTGTTTCCTTTCTGTGGAGCGTGGCTGGACTCGGCTCCCTGGACTGGACTGAGACTCTGAGCCAGGCATGAGCGTGCCTCATGTCCCTTGCACACTGGGTCTCCCTGGGATACACAGTCAGAGGCCCAGCTGCACGGTGGTCTGGGTTCCCGCAGCCCAGAACCCCCGGCGCGGCCAGGCTGGTAAGGCTGGAGGAGCCAAGACAGAGCCCCTGACCACGCGTCTCAATGCAAAACGCACTCGAGGACCAGCAGGGGTTCTGGCTGGAGGCCAGGGCTCCTGAGCCCCCGGGCGCCTGCTTCCTCGTCCACCAAGTGGGGGCCATGTGGAGCCAGATGGGATGACTTAGGGCCAAAGGTCAAGTGCGAGGGTGGCAGGAACACTGATGCCCAATGCCCAGCAGGCACCTGTGGCAGGAACGGGGCCCAGTGTCTGGGTGACCCCTCCAGGGCAGGAAGATCTCACTGGGCCCCTCAGACAGGTAGGGCCTTGAGGCTCAGAGGGGAGGTGGTTTGCACACAGGGATCGGGGCCAGCTAAGGGGCACTTCCCTTGTCCCCCCAGGGTCTTCGGTCACATAAGCTTCCGCTCAGACTGGGAGCTGGTCAAGGTGGACTTCCGGCCCTTGTTCCCCCGGCCATGCAGCAAAGACGACTACGGCTCCTGGGAGCTCGCGGACCTGCAGGTGGGGCGGGGGGGGGGA